GCATTGGGAAGATTGGACTAGCAGTGGCTGCAGCTGTTCTTGTGGCTTTACTGGTTCGCTACTTTACAGGAAACACCAAAGATGGAGGAGGAAACAAAGAATTTAATGGAAACAAGACCAAGTTTGATGATGTGATGAACTCAGTTATGGATATTGTTGCTGCTGCAGTTACAATTATTGTGGTGGCAATTCCAGAAGGTTTGCCTTTGGCTGTTACTCTTACTTTGGCTTATTCTATGAAGCGGATGATGGCTGATCATGCAATGGTTAGAAAACTCTCTGCTTGTGAGACAATGGGGTCTGCCACAACTATTTGTACAGATAAAACAGGCACCCTCACCTTAAATGAAATGAAGGTTACAGAGGTTTGGCTGGGAACAGAAACAACTGAGGTCAGTTTTCCATTGGAAATAGCACGTAATGTGTATGAGTTGCTTCAGGAAGACATTGGTTTAAACACGACCGGTGATGTTTACAAACCAGATTTTGCTTCATCTCCTGAGATTTCAGGCAGCCCAACTGAGAAAGCAATACTCTCTTGGGCTGTTTTGGATTTGGGAATGAATATAAATGAACCAAAGGAGAACTGTGATGTACTCCATGTGGAAACCTTCAATTCAGAGAAAAAGATGAGTGGAGTTTTGATGATGAGAAAGAGTCAGAAGGCCATTCACACACACTGGAAAGGAGCAGCAGAGAGGATTCTTGATATGTGTTCACACTACTATGTCAGAAGTGGAGCAATGAAAGCCGTGGATGATGCTGAGAGACTGCATATAAGTATGATTATTAAGAACATGGCTGCCAAAAGCTTGCGGTGCATTGCTTTTGCACACACAGAGGTGGCAGACAAAAATGAGCAGGCAGCTCATGGGAAGCTAGAAGAAAGTGAACTGACTTTGATAGGGCTAGTTGGTCTAAAAGACCCATGTCGTCCAGGTGTAAAAACAGCTGTTGAATCTTGCATAAACGCCAGCGTAAATATCAAAATGATAACTGGAGACAATGTCCATACAGCAAAAGCCATAGCTATTGAATGCGGTATTCTCAATGCTAATGAAGATTTGAATGATGAAACTGTAGTAGAAGGAGAACAATTCAGAAATTATTCACCAGAGGAGAGAATGGAAAAGATTGATAAGATTCGGGTGATGGCAAGATCATCCCCATTTGACAAGCTTCTCATGGTGCAGAGCTTGAAGCAGAAAGGTCAAGTGGTGGCAGTCACAGGAGATGGTACAAATGATGCACCTGCTTTAAAAGAAGCAGATATTGGACTTTCCATGGGAATCCAAGGCACTGAAGTTGCAAAAGAAAGTTCAGACATAGTTATATTGGATGATAACTTCACTTCTGTTGTAACAGTTTTGAAGTGGGGTAGGGGTGTCTATAACAACATTCAAAAATTCATTCAGTTTCAACTCACAGTGAATGTTGCAGCGCTTGTTATCAACTTTGTTGCTGCAGTTTCTTCTGGTGAAGTTCCACTCACTGCAGTACAGCTATTGTGGGTGAACCTAATAATGGATACTTTAGGAGCTTTAGCATTAGCCACAGAACGACCCAGCAGCGATCTCATGACAAAGAAACCTGTGGGTAGATCCGAGCCACTCATCACCAAAAACATGTGGAGGAACCTTATTTCTCAGGCCTTGTATCAAGTAGTGATCTTACTGACCCTGCAATTCAAAGGAAAGTCTATTTTCAGTGTAGATGAGAAGGTAAAAGATACTCTTATTTTCAATACTTTTGTCCTATGCCAGATCTTCAATGAGTTCAATGCAAGGAAAATGGAGGAGAAGAACATATTTAAGGGCCTACACAAGAACAGACTCTTTATTGGGATTGTCATGATTACCATAACTCTGCAAGTGGTAATGGTGGAGTTCCTAAAGAGGTTTGCCAACACTGAGAGACTAAACTGGGGACAATGGGGTGTTTGTGTTGGAATTGCAGCTTTATCGTGGCCGATTGGGTGGCTTGTTAAGTGGATTCCGGTATCTGGGAAACAGTTTATCTTCTTCCCCAAGTGAAAGCTTCTGCCTTTTTTTGACAATTAACTTCTGGTTAGACTTTAGAGCTGTCTTTTCTTTTTCCTTTCGTTTCTCACTAGTAGGATTGATATATAAGAAAGTTTTTCAGTAGTTTTATCCCAATTAGGTCTGTATATACCTTATTTTCAGACATTGAATGCAAAGCTCAAACAATTTAAGCTCCAAGAATCAAACTTTACTATCAGAATTCTAATAATCAAGTTCCAAACAATTAAAAATTTCCCAAGTTTTTTATTTCACGGTTCATATTTTTGTCATAGAAAAAAGTCAGAACTAAAAGTGAATGCTTGAATAGAACCCAATTAAGCTTAATCCAGTCAATTGTTCTCATCTAATTTTACTGTATCAAAACCCATTAGAAACTAAGAAATATCAAGCCAATTTACTAGTAAGAAAATCACAACAAAAGGCAAGTACATGTTTTTTTTTTTCTGGAGAATCAAACAGGGTATTCTCCAAATCATGCATGATGATACAAAGAAAGGAAAATCTAACACATGGGTCGATCGAGATTCAAGAAGAAAGGAACATTTATGATATATTTTATTTATGGTTAGAAAGCAATCATCTTTCTCTATCAGAGACATTTCAACAAACATATGGGACCCAAAATCAAAATACCTTCATACAAGCAGTTGAATACATCTCGGGTTTGGGGAGGAGGAGAGAAAATGATAGGAGATTTGGTACCTCGTACATTTCAAACCAAAGAAGAAAAACCAGAGACCCATGAAAGCAACTGTCATGTCATGTTGGGAGAAGGACCCACTGTGTCGATTCGGGTCAGTCTTTGACGAGTATTTTAATGATTTGGGTTCAACTTCATTTGCGTAAACGATGAGTGGATGCTTTGGATTCCATTGCTTCCAGTTTCTTGTTTGAGAAAATATATTTCTCTTCCAATTTTCAGAAGCTTTGTTTGGAAAGACAGCCTGAGAGAATAAGTAATAGAATTGACTGAAATAAATGAAATTTTGTTCTAATAAGTTTAAAATCTTTTACTTTTTGTTTTTTTTTATATTAGAATTTCATTTTTGAAATACTTTCTTAATATTATATATATATATATATATAATTAACATATAATTCTTTACGTTTGAGTCCAACTACAACATTATATTTTTTTTAAAAAGGTTATTTTTAATTAAATATTTTTTTTATTCGTAAACGTAATAAATTTATTAAAATTTAGTTTAATTTACTAATTATAATTTAATAATTCACTAATTATTTAATTTATTAAATTAAATATTATACATCAATCACTACTAATTTATAATACACGAATAAAATTATAAATTATATATATATAATAAGATTTAAATTCGTGATATTTAAATAAAATATAAATGTCTTAATTGATAAGTTGATAAGATATTTTTTATATATTTTTTTAAAAAAATATTAAATTGAGTTTTAAATCGAATATAACTACTCAAACTAAAAAAATTTAACTACGTTGGAATATTATTTTCGTCCGTAATTATAATAAAGTCATCTAAACATCTTCTAATTATTTAATTATATTGTATGTTTACGCGCAAATTTTTATCATAAATTTTAAAATTATAATCTTTTTGTATCACTTGCTAGTTTTTTTTTTTTTTTAGGAAATCCTTTATCACTTGACAATTATATCATTAAGTTTACAATTATTTCTAATTATTATTTAACATATACTAAGAAATAGATTAAAATCTATACATACATAATAGAATTTTTATAAATTTATAGAAAAAAAAAATCTATTAGCCCAAAAAAAGAAGATAAAGAGAAAGAAAAAAATGATAAAAGAAGATATCACTAATGGGCTTCCAACCAAACACACCCATATCTTATATATAAAGCCCTAGAGGCTATACTTATATAATATATAAATATAAAATCATAAGAGTATATTCACATCAATGGAAAAAATTTCTCAAGCCATAGTGAAATAATGTTTATAATATATGTTTATAATATATATTATTTATATATTCTTACTTTAAAATTTTAATATAAAAATATTAAATATTTCGAATCAGATAGAATTTTAAAAATAATTTATTAATCGTTTTAATAATAAACCGTACATAAATATTATTAAATATTAAATTTTCATCTGCTTAGAGACCAAGAAATTAGGGAAATCTTATCTAGCTAAGAAATTAATTAATCATATATGTATGTGTATATATATATGTATGAGAAAAATTTCAACCACCCACTATTTCTTTTTCTTTCTAGTAATTTAGCACACATATATATATATATACATACATACATACATATACTATGTTACAAACATTAGTTACATAGCTAACGCCTGTCTGTACCTATACATTATAAAAACGATTAGTTAATTAATTAACTATTTAAGTATCACAATTCAAACATTAATGTGCATGCATGTGGCAATGAAATTTATTATATTATATGTATGTGTATGTATACATGTATCGTTCCTATCATGCGTAGAAAGTTGACCATATGTAAAGAATTTGCACTTTTCCTTTCTTCAAAACCTAGAACTTCTAAAACATACGGATGTATATATACATCATATATGGTGATCATTACATATTTGAATTCATATATACCTGTATACATACATACATATATATGAGAGAGAGAGAGAGAGAGAGAGAGAGAGGACCACAAACAGAAAAAGAAATCATACATCATCATCTACTTAAATAAACTAGACAATAAATCGTCATTTAGTTTGTATAATGACCAAATTATCATTATCATATACATATATATATATATATATATAAATGAAGAGATTAAATCTCAACAATGATAAGAGGAAGGTATCTTCAGATGTTATCTTACTGTCTTATACATATATATGTATATTATATAGTAAGAATTGAGTATATACATACATTCATATATATCTGTGTATGTATATAGATATATATAGATATATATAATGGCAATTTCTCTACTGGTGCAATATTTCCATGATTACAAATACACCATGAATTGCTGAAATAAGAAAGAAACTACAATTAATGCTCATGACATAAGAGTTTGGGAAGTTTTTGGTGGGAAAAAAGTAAATTGCATTTCAATTTCTACAAAATTTTTGAAAAGTGTATTTGTAGCAAAATTCAATCCCGATTCATACGAGAAAACAAAACAAAATAAATGAACTCGAAGCTCGAAGATCGAACAAGATCTGGTTAGAAGTTATCGACTATACAAAAATATATATTATATACAGAAATTATAAATTTATGAACACCAACATGAAAGAAATATATGAAAGCACAATCTTCAAGACACACACACACACACACGTGAGGAGGAGATCTCAAAAGCACCAACACCACATTAAGACAGGAAATTTTGTCACTTGAAACCCTAACAACAATATCTTCATCCTGCTAAATATGATTCTTGCAAAATCCTAATTTGACACACATATACAACCCCAGAAGACCCTATTCATAAATTAATATATACATGTGTGTATATACAGGAATTCATATCATATAAGCATTAGAAGTAATCAGGCAAAAAAATTGAGGAGTACCCAGATGAGAGAACATCACATACCTTGTTCTTGTTCTAGGGTTTTTGCAAAGAAGAAGCCCTAATAGAGAGGTTGAATTGAAAGAGGGATTTTTTATGTATAGGGTTGTTATGAATTAGGGTTTTTCTTGCTACCATTAGCAGATGAAACTGCCACATGATCTATGCTCTCCTGATATGGCAAATCAACACGGAAAAAGCTCAGATCATGCTGGCAGCTTCAACTGCTATAGTGGTGCAAGATGCACATAGGTGTATATGCATATATATATATATATATATATACACACACATATAGATATGTATACAGCCTCCTCAAATTCTCTTCTTCTTCTTCTTCTTCTTCTTCTTCTTCTTCTTCTTCATCTTCTCTCCACCTTCTTCTTCTTCAAGCTTTTTGAGATAAGAGGAGAGGAGAGTGAGAGGATATAAATAGGGGTAGGAATTTAATGTGTTGATTTTTTACTATTATTTTCCTTTTTGCTCTCACAGGCATATGTTTTACTACTTCCAATCTCTCATTATCTTTGTCTCATATGACATTAATTGTCATCACTACAGTACAATAGTATATATAACTATAACTATATATATACATATAATATATTAATGAATATTGATTGTTTCATTGGCTTTAACAGATATGATGCAGCTCCCATAATGGTCATAATTTTTAGTATATATGTCATAATTCACAAGACTAGCTAAATATC